CAGTGTCTCCGGGCTGGGGCTGGTGCTCCTCTTGAGCTGAGAAGAATGCCTCGGAGATTTTCTACATCAGGCACAGGAGTGAGGGTGGAAGTAACATCTCTGAGGTTACGGGGAGCTATTTGCCTTTCCTCCCTCTCCATAGCAGTTATAAATCCATGGATAGAGGAGGGTCTCTGGAGGACTCCGGGAAGCTGCCCCAAAAACAGGTAGAGGGAGGGGATTCTGCCCCTCTGCTCTCAACTTCACTAAATTAAAATCCATGCAGGGGAAGGCTTACAGAAGCATGTAAAGAAACCCACACCAAGGTCTGTAAGACAAACTGCAGTACAGCATCACTCTCCCTAACTGCACAAAGAAGTACATTATTGAAAAAACATGCTTTTTGATCTGAAAAAAAATCTGAACAAAGCAAGGCTGCAAGGTAGTGAGCCAAAACACAGCTAAACAACTATACAGAATCAGAAATGGAAAGAAAAAGGATGATTCTCAGAAATTACAAATTGACTGTGCAAAAGACATGAGGCTTTTAAAAGCTCAAAGAACCTGGCCTGACACTAGAGGCATCTGGCACATGAATCTTAGAAAACCATTATAGCTTAGGAACCTCAGCCAAGTTGTTCTGAGTCTATCCAGAGGAATGTTCTGTCTCATTAACTCACAAGCCAGTGCATTAGCATGTACTTCATAGATTTTAAGTTTTTATCAATTAAATAAACCTTGTGGATGAGCTTGTCAATAGATGAGAAATTTTAGCCTTACGATTTCTGCTCTGCTACTTGGATGACCTTGAACTTGTCTTCTGTTCAGGATCCTGGTCTCCTATTGGTATTTGTGGCTTTCCACTGCAGATGTGAACATCAGCTCAGGCTCAATGACAGCTGCTTCGTGTACAGGACCAACATACTGTCCTCACTGAGAACATACATTTCTGTCTCTGGATTCACATTCTCCATGACACAAACCCCATTTGGTAGCTGATTTTTCCTTCCATTATTAGAAACATAAAAGTCTAAAAGTTCTATTTCTCTGGCCACCTGATTATTTTACTCTGCCTTGTTCTTTCTGTCTCCTTCGCACCTACTGAGAGGTATATCCAAGGACTTGCAGAAGGTAAAAGATTCCATTAAAGGCTTTTGACAATTCTTTTTTGTCTCGTTGCATTTACTTCCTAAAATGATTTCTGTCTTTTTTGATAAGTTTTTTTTTCCTATTTATTTATCATTATTTACATTCCAATAGCATCTTGATTTTCGCAGTCCCTCTGTTATCATCCATTTTCTGTTTCTTTTAAGTAGCAGAATTTTTCTCTGAACATTTTGATGCTTTTTCTGTGTTTCAACCTAATTAATGTTTTCCTCGGTATGTCCAACAGTCTTTTCTGTTCATAGTTTACCATACAAGTAGCTAGGGAATGTGTGATTCTAAATAAATTATGCCATCATTCAAAAACATGTGCTCAAACTTTATGCTGTGATTTTGATGGGAAATCAAAAAGTAAAACAAAGGAAGTGAAAGTACAGACTGGTTCTAGAGTCGTTGGTAGAAAAATATTTCTCAAGCTATACCAATTATATTTTAGTTATTCATCCTCTTTTCCTTCATAGTCAATGGGACAATAGGACAATTTAGTGATTGATCAATCTGAATTTTCTTTCTTTTTTTTTTCCCCTCCCCTCCATTTATAAAGAGAAGAACTGGGTTAATATCAGGCCAGATTTTTCGCTGTTGTCCATGAAGGGGAATATGAATAGCTTCTTTTAGGATAGTTGGGCTAAGTTAGGACATGCTATGTATTATAACATAGTTACATAGTTTTTCTTTTAGATATATGAGATTTACTGGTAGGACCTGGATCCTTCTTCAGGAATTCTAGTGTGATATAGATATGTATTGACATTGCTTAGAGCACTCAGTGTTTGACTTCACCCATCCTTACTCCTTCCTCAATAACCCAAAAAAGATGATGCAGTTTTCCCTAATGCGCCTTGATCCCATTTCCAGCCTTCATGCCCAAAGATCTCTTATCTCCAGCTGAAGAAGTCAGAGCTTTCTTCAGTTCTGTCCTAAATTGTTTCCTCTATTACCACTCTTGTCACCCAGGATTTTAATTTTTGTTCATCCTGGGGAGGCCACTTCTTCCACCCTCCCAGCTGTCCAAGTGGCACTACAGCACAAGAGGGATGATCCTGCAGCAGTCCCCAAGCCCCAGGGGGAAAATGGTCACAGGAGAGGGAGCCAGGGATACTCAGGGTACAGGGAGCCCAGGGAAAACCCAGCTGCTGGTCTGAAAGTGCTGAATTTTCCTTGAGTGAGGCCTCAGCTCAGCCAGAATGCAGTCAGAACCAGAAAATGTTTTACAGGAGTAGCAAAGGACAAGTCTTGCACACTTGAACCCAGCCTTTCAAATTTAATCTGCTCACTGCAGAGTATGAAGGCACTTGCATTTTGTGAAGAGCAGTTATGAAACCTCTTTTAAAACTGATAGTGTATATCTTCATAAAGCTGTATCAAAAACTTGTCACTGCTCATGCATTCAAAATATCATGTCCTGAAGCACTTTGGTGCTTCAGCACTTCCAGGGGATTGGCAAGGGCTGGGAATACATGGCCTCACTGCTTGTCTTCTGAGGTGCTTTTCTGTGTCTGACTGGTTCTGTGTTTCTCTGAAAATGCTAAAATATCTAGAATTCAAGGCCAGTAAAGCTGCAGAATGAATATCCCACTCCAAGACTACAAAATAAAAAGTTCAGATTTTACCCCTGGTTTCCATGGAAAACATCTGAGTCTTTCTCATTTTCCAGTCATATGTCACACTGAATTTTGGCCACTCTTTGCTGTGGGGTTGTTCATATCCAAACTAGTTGGGCTGATCATGATGTGCTGGGCTGGCAGAATGCTGGCTGTGTTACCAGGGTATGTTCCAGGAGTGTGTGCCATGCCTTAGAAGAGTATTAAAAGATCCTCATAACAGGTGTGCAAAGGCTAAAAAAGCAATGTCACCATCTGCACCTAAAAAACATTTTTTCCAGTTGACTTCTCACTTTTCTATTTTCCTCTGAAAAATCTGAGAAGCCCACCTGATTTCTTAGATGTCATGAAAAGAGATTATTGATACAGCCATATAAGTCTGCAGTTGAATTACAGCTTAAAAATAAAAAATGACAGTCTTATCAGCTTGTTTCATGTGGCATTCAAACTGAAAGCTACAGCTCCCTCTTCAAATGTTGATAGTGAATTGCTGGAGGAAGAGAAATCTCTGCACTCATAGGGAGAGAAACTCATGTCAGTCATCCCAGAGTATCAGGAAATGTTATGGGATCTGGAGGAAATCTGCCAAATGCTGCATACTACTGCTTTTTAAATACTCAGCTATTCCTTAGTTGTGTGGTATGGAGATCTTTAAATTCTGACTTAATTAGGAAAAAAAAAAAAAAGAAAGAAAAAAGCATAAATAAATGGTCTCAGTGTGGCCACATTTGTAGCAGAGAGGGTTATTTTAGTTGTCATGAAACATTAATTCCCCTTTTGTGCATTTTTATATTAAAACACTAATGAATTTGTATGCCAAAACAAACTGCCCTTAATTATTCATGATATATAATTCATTAGGCCCTGGAGGGAAAGGGAAGGTCATGTGACCAGCATGTGCCTCATTACCATGTGTGAAATGATAATGAAATTAGCAACAGATAGACAACAAATTGGAAGGAAGTTTCTTGTAACTGGAGAGAAAGAATTGCTGGAATTTTTGGCTGCCTAATGTTTTTTTGCTGAGCTTTATGGGCAGGACAACTGCAGCAAGTGTGGCAGCCTCCACGCTGTCCCCAAACAGGGCTGCTGTGACAGGAAAGTGCCACATCTGTGCCTGTCCTGCTCTGTAGCTGAGGAAATGGCTGTGGAGCAGGTGCATTGCTTCCATTATGCAGAGGCTGGGGATGGCCCATGGGGCTTCTTGAGTGGGAATCTCAGAACATCCAGATCATTTCAAAAACATCAGATTTGGAGCACATTAGATTTCTGGTCAACCTGTAGCAGAGCACTGCAAGAATCAGAAGCTGTAGGACGCTTCTGAAACCAACTTTCTGCAAATGTGCTTTTTTTGGTGATTATTCAATCCTTCAGCAGCTGGAGAGGCAGTGGAATGTTTGCACAGAATGTACAGTATAAGCCTCTGTGACTGGAGCTGAGTTACATTTTAGGTTATTTAGTGTGCTGATCAAGTTATTACTTGATGATAATGTGGCCACACTCATTCCATTCTCACTGCACTAATGTCTTAATCTTAAAACATGTCAAGCATGAATTTAGGACAGGAAACATAAGGGCTGAATAAGGCTGGGAGGTTTTCTTATAGGAATTTTTTTAAAAGGGGAAAAGAACTCAGGAAAAGCAAGCAAACCCTTACAAAATACAAACCGACTTCACATTTTAGCCCTGTTGTCACTGTGTAAAAGCAGAGGAAATATTTGTATTGATCAGGGGAGACTTTGGAGTGTGTTTGAAGGGAATACCTTTTCTTATGGGCTCTTATACATCCAAAGCAGCAAAGGTACCCAGTTTTGCAGCACTGGGATTGAGACTTTCTCCTTTCCTGTCCATCATCCCAGCAGCTGTCAATCCAGATTGTAATGTGATCTTTCTGGGAATTTTAAATTGGGAGAGTCAGATCACAAGAGAGAGAGATCATAACAAGGTCTTGTGACTGTCAGTCTCCTTTGGAATGAGATGCTACCCCTGAGCGCTGCCTTGTTTTCCTCCTGCGGTTTTGAGTCCAGGGGTGTAGTATTGCATTTTATTTAAATGGTATGCTCTGTCTCACCCCTCCAAAATGTATGGTATATCCCAAGCCTGTGGTCCTGTCCTGAACCATCCTGTATCTGCAATCCAATTGGCATAAATCTGATTCCGCACCCACTATCAATCTGCCTCTTAAACTGTGCTAGCAAGACCAGCCTCTCTCTTAGCCTTCCTCCCCTCTTGCCCCTTCCCTCCCCTAGGCTCCCCCTCCTTCCCCTTTCCCCCCTTTTCCCTCAGTAACTATGCTGTCTCCGGGGGATGGGACCCCCAATAACCCTCTTCTAATCAGCACCCTCAGAAGCCGTGTGGAGTCTCCTTGCCTGCCTGCTGCTGCCAGCCAACTCACAGCCTAGGGCGCCCACCGGGGACACCCCAGGGTGCCCCCCCCAAACGAACCACAACACAGGGGAATATGGATACAACAATTCTGTGTATGTGCTGTGTGTTCTGCTCCCTGCCTGGGGCTGGCTAACCTCCCCCAACAAAGCCATCTTCTGAAGGAGTGCAATTCAAATTAGATTCAAATTATGATTGTGAACAAGCTTTCTTAATGCACAAGAGGCAGATTGTGTATGTTTTTATTACAGATAATTTTTCAGTTATGATAAAAGGAGGAACAACCATAGTTATAAAGGGAATATCATATTACCACGATGTAATCCTCCTTTTATAATAGCAGAGAAAATACATCTCATGAAAATGGAGTTAGCATTTGCCCAGTATTTAAAATAGTTGATATATTAATGATATCACAAGTATTCTTCTCTGACTTTAAATTTCCATACAGACACGTTAGTCTGCTTGGGTTCTTCTCTCAAAATACTCCATGGTCCTGCATATCTTGGGCTCTTTTCTGAAGTGGATTGATTTTTCACATCACCTGAGAAGGTAAGAAATAAAATAAAGAAACGGTTTTCAGCCATTTTTCCTGCCTAGTGTTATCATGGAGGGGGGAATAAATATTTTACACTCTTTTCTTTCCACTCTCTTTCATTCTAAACATGTACCCATTTTTGAACACTAATTCTTTATGATGCAATTTATTTTTCTTGTTCTTTGTAATGGGATGTAGCTATCCATCACTTAGGGGCCATGCTGAAAAGTGATGGCTGATGGCTGAAGAGCTCAGGTCATGAACAAAGTTCTTTGATCTTTCTTTCAGGCAGAAGCTCTTTTGGAAAGAGCCTGACTCTGCAGTCATAAAAAGGGGTTATGTTAAGCTGGATGTTATCAATGGAGTAATATCAACAGTAATGTCATTAGAAGAGAGGGATATTTATCTTTTAATGAAACCAATTATCTAGTCAGTGAATTATCAGCTTTTTATGCATGTATTATCAATTCTTCAGGGTTTCTATTTCATCTTAGGACCTCTTTCGTTTTCCTTTGAAGCTTCTAAATGTATATCCTTGGCATGCTTTTCATGCCAGGTGTGACCAGGACTTTCCTTTGGGAGCTGCATGGTGGAGAGCTAGGAAGATGGAGATATTGATAATGCAGTTATGGTGGCCTAGGAAGGCTGTTAGGTTTTTTTTCTGACTGCTTGAAATGTATTAATATTATAACTTTCTGCATTTTGCTTTCCATTGAAAAGTGAGTGTTAAGATAAAACATTTTTTAATGAATGGCAATTTTTTTTTTCATATATGTTTTAGAGGTATCAGATTAGCCTGGGAAAATACAGGGTTTCACTCCTTGCTCCAGCATGGGTCAGCAGGACCAAGGCATCAAGTGCTGTAGAGGTCCTGAGAGCATTTATCACATGCAATACCCTCCTCTAGCAGACCTGGTTTATTATTTATTGTTATGAATAGAAAGTTGTATTTTTTTTAAGTTTCAGAGTTAAAAACAAGTCAGACCAGTCAGACCTCTTTAGTTTCACTGCCAAAGGAAAGCTCCTCAATTACCTGTTAATGGCCGGTGATTAACCATTGTCCCCCTGATGCTGGCCGCTTGCCAGAAACAAACACAGGGACAGACCCTCCAAGTACGAAGAAAATAGCAGTGACATCAGAGCCAGTATGCAGCTGAGAAATGCATTGTGCCCCGAATTTTTACAGTTTTACAGTTTTTACAAGAAAAATCCCTAAAATTACGAGCCAACAAGTGACTTAAGTGACGTCTAAGGATGGGAGCGCAGTCCTGTACCTGCTTGGACCCTTTTGCTTCTCACCCTAACCTGAAAAGATGCTGATTAAAGAGATGCTCCGGAGTGTTAGACAAAAAAGATAGGAATCTGCTGCTCTCCCGTGAGGACAGAATCCCCAGCTCTGCCTGCAGACCAGCGGACAAAGCTGCATCATCCTCCTTCTCTGTGCCATGCCTGGGAGCAACGGCGGCATGGGCGCGAGCCGTTGATTTCTCCCCACCTGAGCTGATTCTTCTTAATAAAGGCATTAAAAAGGAGAAAGATCTCCTGCCTATTTATATCATTAATTGTTTATTATTTTGATCCACCCAATGAGCTCGTGCTTCCTGTAAACCAGAAGGTTTTACCTCTGGTGACTCTCCAAGCCAGTTCCTTCCCTCTGCTCAAATTGTCTTTCAGCTGACAGAGATCCATCCAAGGTAACTCCTTCCTCAGGACAAGTGTCATACTGCCCCATGCAGCTTACAGATATGTCATTTTCCACATGTGGAAGAGGTTGGGATGGGTTGATTTTGCAGTCCTTGTAGAAAACTCTGCTGCACTGCACTGTGTTTATAGTCTCTAGTCACACCTTTCTCTCCAGTTGAGTGAATAGTTTTGGAGGGGAACATAGAGCTGATTTTTAGAGAGTTTGTGAATCATTTATCAGGGTCTTGTAGCAAAACACTACAGACATGTGGGCCTTCTTTTGTTTCATATTACTTTGGATATTATCCCATCATTTGGATTGTGTGTGCTGTAGAATCCTCTTGCATCCAGTGAGGGCCCTTTGCTCAGCTTTATTATCCAAGCTTTATTATCCAAGCAGTTCTAAATTCACTTTAGAGGAAGAGAAATGCCTTCCTGACCTGCCATGAAGTACTAGGAAACCAGGGTTAGTGAAGCCTTTGTCAATATGTTCATTTACTACAGGCAATTGACTAGAGACCAGGTGGTAACTCTATAAAGATTAATCTAACAGCTCCACATAAACTGTAGATCATGTTGGAACCTGAGATCCAGCAGAGTCCAATAAAGCGGATACTACAGAATTAAACCCTACTGCCTCATATGGAGTTCTAGATATGCTTCCTACTCTGTTTTAGAGCTGTCAGCTTATAACATATCCTCTCATTTAAATTCTACTGACTACTTTTCCAGTCAGTCTCTCCCGTGTTTCCAAGGATGGTAGCAGAAATTTGTATTGGTTCTGTCTGCCTCCTGTCATTCTCCCACCACTCTTACTACACTTCCCACTTCTTTTCCCTTCCAGAGAGCAGGAAGTTCAGGGGGAGAAACAAAAAAAAAGGCATCACCAAAGAATAAAAGCCCCCACAAATCTAACTTACAAGCTCAGTTAAAAATACTCTGCCCTGATCTATGACTTTCCTTTGCAGGGATTGTACATGCAACATCTCCTGCTTTTCAGAAGTGTTGAGCACAGCATCCCTCAATGTTGTCCCTGCCTTTTTTACAACACAATCTTTCCGCTGAGCTGGCACTGGACATCACCCTCTCCTGGGTGTTTCCTGACCTCTCTGCCTCCAGACAGGTTGGAGATTAGTTTCTTGTGCTGATGGTTCCCATGTTACCTATCCAAACTTTACTCCTATCAGCAATTGATTTGAATACCTTAAACAGATCACGAAGTTGGTTTTATATTGAGCTTCCTAATAATTCATTTTCCAGCTGGTAAAGTCCTCACTAAAGTCCAGACAAACCATAAGGCTGTGGGTGAAATATTTTTTGAAGCTGTTATAAATAAACACCTGAGTTATGTTTTGTAAATTATGTTGTTGTCTCAGTGGGCAAGGATTTTATCACACTGAGCTCAAATTAAATTCAGTGAAAAATCCAGGAGTGCAGCTATAAATCACAGCTTCTTTTCGGGGAAGGGACTGTTGTCTTTGCACAAGAGTGCAGGTGCTTCAGCAAAGTGTATAATTATATCACAGAAGTTTTTTGGAGCTGCAGCTTCCTTGAAGGGAAAGGCTGGAAACAAAGGTGTCAGACCATGAGCTCCTGTGATCATCCTCATCCTTAAGGCAGAAAATTGTGCTGCTTCCCATAAATCCTTGAGCCAGCTTTACATCTTCTGCATGTCCACAAATTATGAGGTGAGAGTGGCAGTTCATGTTTCCTAATATTGTCTCCTTTTCCTTTCTCAAAGGAATTTCCTATGCAAAATTTGATCAGTACCACACAGTGGTACTGGGCAGGTGTGGGATGGAAGTGAGAGAGGAGCAAAAAGGGGCTGCTTTCATGGGGAGTGGGCTCTGTGTGGAGACCCAGGCAGAAATCCCCTCTGACAGAGGCAATGAGAGGTGGATTGAGAGGTTTTTAGGTGAGAGAAGGAGAGATAGAAGTGAAGAGTACACTTCTGGTGTATCATCACCTGCTTGGAGAGTTTCTGTGAGAGGCAATAGCAGTTACCATGTGAGAGAGGGAAGACAGAAAACACATTCAGAAATAATTGCAGAGCATTTCATTAGCCGTTATTCAAATTACGTTACCTTAGCCTTTGTGCTTAATTATCTGACAGCTTCTGAACAATACCCAGAGAGCTGAGGGGGGAAATGCAGGGTCAGCTATGGGAGTAATTTAACATCTTACATTTAATTGGAGTGCCCTGTAGGTTTGCTCTATTCCTGGGAGGATGGGAACATTTCCCCTTCCCGAGAGATCTGCAGGGGCTGTGGACCTGAGCCAGCCCCAGACACCTCCCTGCACTGCCAGTGCTTTGCACAGATGTGCTTTGGGTTTGAGGATTTCCCCCTCCAGAGGGGCTTTGAGGTGCAGGATGAGAGGGGAAACAGCGGCACATCCTGATTGCCCCTCCTGGCTGGAGGGAATGGGGAAATCTGCAGTGTCTGAAGACCACCCCTGGCCGTTTCTCTTCCCTGGGAAATCTTTCTGGAGCCTGGCAGCTCTCCATGGTGGCGAGTCTCAGCTGGCTTGTGGCTCTCCTGAAGGCACAGCTCAGGTTTAACTCCACCTCTGGGAGGGAAGCAGCTGATCTGGCTTTCAGAGGGAGAAGGGGTAGAGACAGAGCCTGAATCTGGGTGCTGGGTGTCCTTTCTGGTCAGTACTGCCAGGGGTTTGCACAAACCCAGTTGCAGCTTGGTGTAGCACAAGCTCTGGCAGTGCTGCCAGCAGAGAGGAGTTGCTACCACAGCTGTGGGTCTCCCAGACCCTGTCCAGCTGCTGTCAATGAGTTTTTCTCTCTTGCCACTGACATCATCGCTCTGAGAGTGCTGCTTTGCTATATATTGGCCTAATATGAAGGTTAGGATCTGTGACAACTCACCCTTAAGGGGAAGGAAGCACCATGTCAATATGTGGGAAAAAACCCTCAAGACTGAAAACAAAAAACATGAAATCCTGACCCTGCTGTAAACAGCAGGAGGTTCTACTACTGGCTCCAGAGCATCTTGGCTTATACCTATTGCGCAAAACAATATCAGCTCAACTTTGCTCTTCCTTTCTGCAGACAGTTTCAATTTGAGCCTACTCCTCCAGGTACTGTCTAGCCCAGAGTACACACCTTTCCTTTTAATTACTGATCTGCTCAACTTTCCCATGGATTGGGGTTGTGGGTTGCTTCAAAAAATATGATGAAAATATTTGCCAAGATTGGAATTAATTCAAAGCACAGACCAAAGCAAAACCAAATGCAATTTAACTAACATCATTGTAGAGAAAGTGGTCTGAAACTACATGATTGCTGCTGTCTTTTGTTAATACTGGTGAATACTCTTATGCTCTTCAGTATTTTTCTTTCTCCTTCTTAAAGCTTTTCTTCAATGTTTGCTTTCAGTTCCCTATCTATTCTGCATTTCTTTCCAATATTTTTGGAATAAAAATATTTTTGATGGTTTTTTGATGATATTTTTGATGGTCTCCAGTATTTTTGATGGTTTCCATTTGAGAATCAGGTGGAAGGGAAACAAGATGCCTTGGATATGGCAACCACAGTGTGTTTTCACAGCACCCTCCTCTCTCATTCTCGCACTGACAGTCACTACATCACCTTCACTACCCTCCCCTGGAGCCACCTTCTTTTTCCTCAGGGAATAGAAACCAGCTGCTCATGGTCCCAGAATTTTTCTTGATAGTCCTCTTCTTCCACACCTCCTTTTGTGAGGGAAACATCTGCTTGCTTGGATTTAATCACCAAATTGAGGAGACATGACTCCTTGATATATTCCTCTGGTGTGTCTTTCTGATTTCTCCTGCAGTACCTCTCAGTCACATGCAGCTAAAAATAAGCATATTTTCCTTCTCCTCAGCCCTTTCCACTCAACCTGAACTGTGCTGAGGAGATGAGAGAACAGGGAAAGTTATTTTGGTTTCTGAAAGCACTGAATTGTATTTCAAATAAACATAAGATTTTAAAGTTTTATAAGCAGGTTTAGACAGGACAGCAGAATTCTGGTGCAGCCTGAGAGCTCCAACCAACCTCATGAATGTCTCAGAAAAAATCCTAGAGCATTCACTGCTGCTGGTTAAATCTAATACAGACACCAATCTTTGAATGGACAATCATGGTCATACTCAGCAACCCTTTCCTGAACATCTACAAAAAAGACTAAAACTGAGAAAAATAAAATACATCACAAAAAACCCAGTCTCTGAGCACAGCAAGAAACCCTCTTTTTTGAATAAGTAAAAAACCTCCTGAATTTTCAGCATTGAATGGATATTTGTGTAGAGCATGTAAGTAAAAAGAAGGACACAGAAAGGGGAAGGGGAAGGAAAGAAGCCTGGACATGTGAGCAGTATTTTTCTGTTTGGTCAACTGTGCATATATTTTCAAGATCACATTGCCTTTGTTTTTATTTATTATTACTTTAAAAATAATTGCTTCAAAATTTACAGTATTTCTACTGTAATTTTGGAAGCATAATGTATCCTGCAAATCAGAGAAGAGAAGGAGAGTTTAGGTATTTTATGTCTTTGCTGTCTATTAGTGTTTTCAAATCCTGTGCCCTAAGACAACCTGGCAGATCCTCAGCTGTGGAGCCTTTCTGGCCTTGTCTATGTGGACAGATATATAAATTCAGCCTCTTTCTTCCATATCCTGAGGGGACAAGACACTCCCCTGTGCTGCCTGGAAGCCTCTGCTGCCCTAGAGGCACTTTGCTGTAGTTAATATACAGTATTACCTCTGCACCCCTCGTTTTTCTTGTTTCATGTTGGAATCTGAAATGCAGGGAACTCTCAGAACTTTGGGCCTCTAAGCCAAAGCTT